AGATAAGATATTTGATATATTAATGCATACAAATAGGTAGTTAGAGCCACGTTTAGAAAGTTTATAGAAGTTTCTAAAAGTTTCTAGAATTGAGATTAAATTAGTAGGTTATATAGAATCTACCATAGAACATTCTAAAAAGAACTGAGAACACTTATCTAGGTAAAATCCACCATTAAAATCATTCTAAAAAGTTCCATGATGGTTGAACAAAGTATAAATAAGACTGGCCATGGCTATATATTGCATATATTGACCACTTATTTTACAAGTTGATCATATGGTGCACATGTTGGAAACTTGCCTTACAAGTTATATATATATATATATATATATATATATATATATATATGTCAAGTTGAACATGCATTAGATGATCTATAGAAGGTTGTAATATAGTTTTTTAGTTAGATAGTATATATATAGGCAAAAGTGAAACATTCTTTGTTCTTATTAACTTCTTTGTTGCTTCAAGTGCAATTTCAAGAATTTGTATCTTAATTAACTTTGACACAAATGATAAGAATCTTAAATATTTCATATTGACATATATTTTAAATAATTATTGAGTATATTGAAGCATGTCTTTGTAATATATTTTTAATTAGTAGTATGTATTAGCTAAAAAAATCATAAGGCTTATCAAATTTCTTATTAAGACATTGTCATAATAAATAGAATTTTTCTTAAGAAAGCATTGGATCTTTGGTTGCCACTAATCACTCAAGTAAGTTGCAAATTACAAAATAATTTTTTATTTATAGCTTATCTTTATAAAGATATTTTGAAATGGGATTAGATAATCTCTAAGATTTAAGATCATTATAATCCATAGCAACATAAATTCCATCTTAATGTAGGATAGAATAGACTAAAACTAAAGAAAATAGAATAGAATTGAATAAGAAAATGAAAAATTAAACTTTACCAAAAGAAAGGATCCAAAGTTACATCTGACCAGATATCCAAATAGCCTTGGCAAGTCCTATTTATAGATGGTTAATCTAATGAATTTAGAATAATCTGTATATATTTGCAAGAACTTATCTTTTCTCTTTAAGAAGAAAATTAGTGTACTTGTGGAAAAATTTGAATGTTAAATAAGATTTATTACAAATTAAATCATTAATTTATTCCTTTAAAGCAACTAACTTGTTTTTAATAAGTTTTAAATTTTTTTAAATGGTAGTTGAATAACTTTTTAAAGGTCAATTGCACAATTTTAAAGTTGGTAATATATCAACATTCTTCTCCTTAAAGACATCTTATTATTCTTTGTTTTTTTAACATTTTGCAAGAAGCTCTATTTCAATGAAACTTTGGTATTGCATATATATATTTTATATATATATTTATTGCAGTTTGCATAAATGCCTTAGCTACAACAAATAAATGTCAAAATAGTTTTTTAACATTTGGACTATCAAACATTGTCTTCAACGTCCTTTGACTTTTTGTAATTTTCAATCACTATTAGGATTATGCAATTCAAACCGATACATGCCATTTAAACTTGATTCAAAGTTGAAGACAATGTTCGGTACGTCATCTCCTTTCCTTACATCTTCGTCCTTCTAGATTTCATTATCAAAACCTAATCAACAGATCACAAACTCGTGTCCTAACTCCCTCAGCAATCACATCTCTACTAAACGAAGATTATCACAAGGAATCTCATAATTTCTATCACCATTGTCGCAGACAGCATCACGCCAACGATTTCCTCTTGCTTGTTCTTAGATCGCCCTTCGGCCGTTTGCTTCGCCAGTTCGTTAGCTTTGCCTCTGCAAGCGTTGCAGGTGCCTGGAACGTTTTGACGATTGTTTGTATTCATTAAGACAATGCTGATCTCTCTCGTTCATTTCGAAGTACCTGGACTGCGAAGGTTAATATTCTCTGATATTATTCGTGGGGACCGTCCCTAGAAGTGATGGTCGCAATCTTTTCGTGGTGGTCGATCAAGGAACCAGGGATTGAATGCAAGCGTGAGGAGGATGATGAAGGATCTCATTCATAATGCTCCGTCTGTTAGTCGCTACGTCGATTAGCCAATCCTCCTAGTCCACGGTACCGCTGGGTTGCGACGCTCAGTGAAGATATTCGGAGGAACTGCAGATTTCTTCAATTACAAGTTTGTAAGAGGCGAGTTACTGCGATAAGTAGAGCTCGTTCTTGTATATCTTTCTCAGGTTACACCACAACGGATCGTATGCTGCGTTTCGAAGAAAAACGATTCGAAGTCTCTAATGTTTCGTCATTTTGCACGTGACCCATTCGAGACGAAGTCACTTAAAGCACGGAACAACGGTGGGGTGGACCAGTAGAAGACGGTATGTTTGTAAACAACTGACCATGGCCTAGGACCACGGGGGGAGCATTAATACTTCCTCGCAAGATGAATCTGTCCACAAGCCTCGCAACCGCAATCGCCGCAACAAGAGCAATAACGACAACTTTTCGCCCAACTTTCCCTGTGTTCCTTTGACTCCATATGCCTTCTATGACCAACCTTTTGATCTGTCTCAGCCACCATGTGCAATTCAAAGCAAAGTGCTCAGCAACAGAATTTGCAGAATTTTGTGCACGGTCCATGTATCGTTCACTACTTTTAACAGCATATTCAAATAGCATACCCCTCGAAAGTGTTTTCTTACAATTTCCTTACAATTTGACTAGGCATAGGTCGAGGGCTGTCACTCGGGTGCAAACAAGAGTACAAAAAACGCAGGCTACTCTGTTGTTTCCGAAACTCTGAGAGAACCGTGACACTCCTTGATTACGTTAAAAGACTCGGTGGTCCTTGCTAGTGACATAGTGGAGCGATCCTGAAGAAGAGCCGGTTTCCGCAACGACATGCTATTTCCTCTAAAACCATTTTATGAGAATATTCACTTTATCCTCCTTCTAAGGGATTCTGACGAAGCCCCGTGTTTTGGATAAGCAGTGACAGAGTGAGAGTATTCTTCTAAGCGAGCTTCGTCACTGGAGATTTGTACCGGCTCGAGAACCTGGTTGGTTAAGACCTGTGACAGCCAGATCATCCGTCACCATTAAGCCTATTCTCGGACGAACGCTAAAACTATGATTGGAATGACCATCAAAGTTAGAAACTCACAACCAAGAAGCACTCCCTGGCTACTCTTCAATAATAGGCTCCAAAAAGCCGATTGCTCGATTTCTGCCTCTGACACTGCAATGCCGTGACGTTGAGCTCGTGCTGTGGTATGCAACAGCACTGTGAAAACCGTGCTGAGAATCCACAATCCACGAGACTGCTGCAGGTTCTCTTCCATCAGCGTAGCATGTTCCATATCGCTTGACTTTTGCATCACCAACGTCGACGCGGCTCACTCTATTTTCGGCATCGTTTCTGCGTGGACCCGTCATGCTCGCTCTGAACTGATCGACAACAGAAGAGAAGATTCGTCGGAGATGGTCTCGCGAAATAGTTGTGTGGTGAGGTACCAATCAATTATAGCTACGAGGCCATCGTGAGACGTTGTTCATGTGGGTCGCGGAAACAGATAATGCAGAAAAGGTTTATCGTCTATCAAACTGATTCACACCGAACTAATAATCTAAGCATCCGGCAAACTCGGTTTGGGTATAAAAAAAAGCAGTATAAACAAGCCAACAAACAAATAAAATGATTCCCCGACAGTTCGATGCCAACGGTACTGTCGACATGTGCAAATCCGTAAGTCAATGAAATTGTTTTCTTCTGACTGGGGAACAGTGAATGATGAATGGAAGTGGCTGTTGGAATTTCAAGCTCACGTTGATTAATACTTTTAGAAAATCCTTCGTTTTCTATGTTTGAGTGGTAGATCACAGGTGTTGATATTGTAAAGTACAGTTGAATTTTAGAATGATATGATGCTGTGTTGAATATTTTACAGGAGAACAATGTTGAGGGTAGATTTTGCAAACTCCAGTTGTCCGTGGTGTTATGAAATTATAGCTTCGTGTTGTGAGAGAATTATTATCCAGTAATGTGTTGGTTGAAAATTTATGGGATCAGAATGTTGCTTGGACAAAAGCTTTGTACATGTGAGACATGCTCAAAGTTAATGCTGCATGACAGATCTTGAGGTTAGTGGTTGCACTGACAATGATTGCATTTCTTAATTGTTGCAGCTGAATACTAAAATCTAACTTTCGAATTAGAATTATTTTTTTATTGCTAATTGTTAAATAGCATTTCTTTACGAAGAATACGAAACGAATTCTTACAAGTTCTGAAGGGAATTGCAAGAACTGTGATTTGTCGACCTCGAATACCGATATCGTCGTTGTCCAATTGATACTTTAGAGAGAAGACAATATAGGAATACGTTGTGTATTCAAATCACATCATTGAATTACCAAATTGATCTAAACTTGTCGAGGAAATAGGTTCCGGTTATAGAATTTTCATTCAATTCTAAATGCCCGAAAACAAGAGTTAATTGTCACTAAATGTTTGATTTCGAATACTTAATGGCAGTAGTAAAAGAGCTACTGCAAGACTTATTTTCATATCTTGAATTTCAATTAGAATTTTCTGTTCAATGCGCACTGTAAATCCAATTATTTGATTTATAATTATTTATAAATTATTAATTATAAATTAGGGGACAAATGAATTCACCAGAAACCCTAAAGTTGACTGTCAAGAAGGAGCATCCAAAGAACTGTTTACAGGTACAAATAGCGTGTCTATTGTGTTATCTCCGTGAGGAAGATAAACGAAAGACGAGATATTGGACTTTTTGGTCACACCTGCTTGCGTCTATGAATGTCACCAAGATTCGCTGCTGAGCACTGCTGGTTGGTTCGGCATCTTGCGTATCAGCAGGAATGGCGGTATTTCTGTGGATTCAAGCCATTCGAAGAGGACAGCCTGGGCAACTTGCGATCCACGGACCACTCGTCTCCATGTTGGAAGGCATCAATTGCGATGCGCAATTTTTAGACAGGGCGATGCAGCGTCTTGTTGGTCTTTGTGGTCCGCCGACCCTTTCGCAGCTCGAGCGTAGAAAATGGATCAGACAGGGTTTCTGGGGCCTGCATTGGATTGCATGCTGTAATGCAGTTGGCCTTCATTACTCCATCTGCTGTGTTTGTATCAACCGAATTGCCCTGGTGAGAGCGTGTGGATCGTGGGCTTCGGTGGGTGCACTGAAACAAGTCTAGAGAACTCCTTGGGACCCTCGACATGACGAAACCTGCGTGTAGCATCGTCGCGATGGTTATCTTAACCCTGGTCCTAGCCGCTACCGGTGGTGTGCAAGCGCAGCCATGCTCACCAACCCAACCCCTGTTATTGTACGGGTATTGTGCTAGTTATTTGACGGATGCAACAAGCTATCCGGATAACACATGTTGCGATGTGATTTTGAATATGTACAACTTGAGAGGGGCTAACTGTTTCTGCGACGCAGTTAGATCATTGGTCGCATCGAACCCTACTTTGAACGCGAATAAAGCACGCGCCTTGCTTAATGACTGTGAAATATCTGCTGGATCAACGTGCTCTATGACACCTGCCTCTCCCGTGTCCCCTTCGTTACCTGCGCCTGGCTCCGACGATGGCATCAACACTCAACCACCTGGACCATCAAGCCCGAGTTCGACGACCTATAAGACTGCAGGTACTGTTTCCATTTTTCCATCCCCAGCTCGTTGTAAATTTTTTGGTGTTAATCCTTAAAGGCAAGACTACCAAACCAGGGTCTTCAAAATGCCATGCGGATACACCTCGTGGTCTGCGGTGACAGGCTCGTTCTTCTAGTTGAGGACTTGTGCACAGTGTAGTTTGCATAGACTCATGTAGAATCATTCGCCACCACGTTCCATCAGTAACCTGTGGTCTGCGTCGGGTTGCTACAGGATCTCTGAACCTAGCTGCTCCGATCGGGGGAGGCGTAGGAGGAATCACAGCTCTCGTGATCATCTTGATTTTGATCGGGAAATTTACGAACATGTTCTCGAGATGCTGTAATTGCCATTGGTTTGTGAATGTAGGCGGACGCAATGGTGATGGCAATGCCAACGCCAACGTCGACGCTGGTGGCAATGGTGGTTTACCACAACATACGCAGCAACCAAATGGACATCTAAACCCAGGATCAGCTACTCCGAACGAAGGACAAGTTCCTCCAAATGGAAGTTACCACGATTCAGATCCATCGTGGAATGGTGAGAAGGCTGGTATTTTCTCTATTATATACAGGCTGCCTTGATGTTGACATGCTTTTCTAACAAGTTGTGCAATTGAAAATTCCAATTTGGAGAAGTCGGTTCCAAGTGAAACTGGTATACATGTTCCAGTTCCAAACATACACAGATACTCACACTAATCCTGATACGGCTTTGAAAGATCATGATGGTTAAGCTCTGGTTTGCACGATGTTGCAGATTGTCATTTTACATTGTGCTGTACTGATCTTCTGTCCGCCGTGCATGTGCAGAGAAAGTACCTGCGCACTTGGCAAGATGAACGCTCTTCGTTTGGTAGGTTGTGAGGATCATTGAGCCAGTCTTGAATTACTCTCGACACGGCGGTGCTTCTGGAATATAAGGTTGTCAACTTCCTTGCAGATGAAAGATAGTCATTCGAATGACACAACGGAAGAATATGTTCATCTTTTCACGCACTAGAATGGAGTGTAGGATACTTCAATCACCTCATTTTGACATCGCTGAGCTCCGCAAGAATTTGGCCAGTGCATCATTTGCCTATCACCTCGAAATGCTACATGTAGATAGATTGATACGCAAAGCGTTTAACGTTCAGCAGGATTGAAACTGGTAGATGGATCGCAAGGGGTCTTGCATGGAGATACCAGCCACATTCGTTTAGTATCAGATAATCATTTACAGTATCTCCAGTTTATTTTCTAATATGGGTGTACATTTCGGGCCGATTACGACACGCTATGTCTTGCTACTTGTGTACCATCGTGTTGCTTTGAGTATGATTAAGAGGATCAGGAGAAAGATCAAGGTAAATATTACCACTGCTATCAAGAAGTATTAGAATATAGAGTTTCTTTGTCAGTAACTGTAACATGCTGTAACGTCAGCGGCAATGTCGCATCCAGTCGAGGAGTGGCGATTCCTTGAGTCGAATCTCCCTCGACTGGATAAACCATATGAAACAGAATCATTACACGAGAATTATACAATTAAATTTACACTCATACATGTAATTCTGACATGATACTAAAGCAAAATTCTGCAAATGTTGTAACACAAGTTTGAAAAAGGCATTAAAAACTCATAAGAGAAGGAAGTTGGGTCGAAGATGTTATTTACAAAAACTAAGGCACCAATAAACTTGCCATCATTTCAACATGGTACTAAGGAATGATCAAAATTTGATGGCTCTAAGTATATCAGCTGGAAGTAAAAAGTACAAATGAAATTTAAGATGGAAAAATTATAGAATTTAGTCTCTAGCATAGAAAAACAATCCTCACATATTCCAAAAACCAATGCAACAACACCTCCACCAATAAATCAAGTTGCCATTATCATGTGGAAAAAGAAAAATAATGAAACTCTAGCAACTATATGGGATTATGTATATAACTTAATATTCTTCCATGTAAAAGCATACAATACAACTAATGAAGCTTGGATTGTGCTTAAAAATACATATTCTGCAAGTGAAATCATTATTGAAGCTTATCTACAAGAAAAATTTATCACACAAAAATAAAAGTAGAAAAATTAATAATACAACACTTACATAATTTTAAAACATTATTTCAACAATGTCATCTTCATACTTATGAGGTCAATGCCATCCCAATATGGCATTATCATTCAAATTCTCTGCAGTACAAGAATTGCAACATTAGCAAAATTGATTGCTATCCTACTACAACTATGAAAAGCTCATCTTCTGACTCTCATGCACTCTTTGTCACCCGCAAAGACAAAAGTGGCAACCACAATCCACTGCAAAACAACCACAAAAGACTATAAATTCCAAGAACAAATCAAAACCAACTACTCGATGTCTCTTTTGCAAAAAGACAAGACACTAGGGTTTAGTTTGTTTTTATAAAAAATAACAAATTCAGCACCCATGTCAATGCGGATCAGTGCGGGCCCAATGAGGAATGGGTTCTGAGTTCCCAACCTACAGCCCTCCAACCTGCCTGGTTCCCCTACGTTCCCTCCCTCCGTTCCCAGAAATCCGATCAGAGGTTGGGATTGCATCTGACCGGCAGCCGCGATCCGACGGCTCACGATGGCGGAGCAAGGCGATTGAACAGGGAGGTTTCTGAGACATAGTGACGAAAGTAGAGCAGAGATTGTGTCGACAACGGTATGGGCGTCAAAGGCAATCACTAATTTTTATTTATTTATTTATTTTTATTTTTTTGTGTTCGCTCTCGCATCAGAAGAGCTCCGGCTCGGTGTGTGGGTGCAGAGCTGGTAGTTGATTTATGGGTTGGGGTTAAGGTTCATTTTTCTTTCCTCTGGTCTGACTTATCGGAGCTTGACATCCTGTGGTGCGACGACTGTCGAGCTCCTTCCGATTCGAGTGTCAATGGTCGAAGCTTGTGGCGTGCGGTGGTGTGCTGCAGTCTGGATTGGTCGCTGTTGATTCTTGCGAGATCCGCCAATTGCGGTATGCTGCGGTGGTATCGTTCGTTGGTTTTTTTCTCGCTCCTAGTTCCGAAAGATGGCGGTGTTGGTTAGTTGCAGCACCTGTGGTTTCTTTGGTGGTTTAGATCATGGTGGCGTGTGGCTAGAGCTCAGTTTCCGGATTTTGCAGAGCTGTGGATTGTGTTTGCCTATCTCTCTTTGTGTTCTTCGTTCACTGGACTTCAAAGCTTCAAAAATTTCGGCGTGCAGCCGGAGTTCTTGCTCTCTCTGTTGGGTTCGTATTAGGGTTGTCGACGTTTTTACCAAGCTGGATGGCAGCGGAGTCACTGGATTTTTTCTTGGAGCTCCGCATTCTCTTGTGTGTTGCGGCTGGACCCGTTTTCTCCTCGGCGTCGACTTTTCTTGGCGGCCAGCTAGTTTTTCCCCTCGCTGCGTTTCTCTTTGGAGTGTGCTATAATGTTGATGCAACGGGGGCTGCCGTTACTTTCTTTTTGTTCCTTCGTGCTGCAGCTCATGTGGTTGATCCAGTTGTCGTCAGCTGTGATGGGCAGTTCCCAAGGCGTTCTTCCTGTTTTTTTGGTTCTTTTTCAATTTTGCTGAGGTTTCTTGTCGGCGCTGCTCGTGGTTTTCACTGTTGCGGTTGGAGTGTTTAGACTCCCCTTATACTTGCCTAGTTCCTAGCTTCTTGTGGTCGTGTAGTGGCATGCGGCGGCTTTCTCTCTCTCTCGGCTCAGCATTCGGAGCGGTTGGCCTCCGCTGTATGGGAGGGGTGGAGCTCCGGTGGATCGCTTGACACAGGTTCCACTCTGAGCTCAAATACCAGCACTCTCCAAGCGTGGTGTTGGAGTCCTAGAGTTTTCTTTGGATCGGGTTTTGTGTTGGTGTGTTAGCGGGGTTCAGTGCGGCTGACACCGTGAAGTGTGATTTTTGCATATCGAGATTGCATTTGAGATAGCGAGGTTGTATCTACGTCCACACTTTGAGATCTCATTGTCCTAGACTTCAAGCTGGTGGGTGAGGTATTGAAGGCGACGTAGACCGTAAAGTTTAGAGGTGCACGGTGTCGCTGTCTTAACGCATTGATCGGTGTCTGAACAGTTCACATTTCCAGTTTGCGGAGCGCGCGTTGTTGTTGTTTTTTGTTTTTATTTTTATTTTTTTATTTGAAGCGACGATCACATTGTGAGCCTAGTGGTTCAGCTTCGACATGATCTGTGTAGGGTGCATGTGGGAAGCTGATCCCGTTGAGATTTTGTGCTAGAGTTTTGTCACCCTCCGTAAATTGTTGGCAAAATTAATGCTAGAATTATGCCGAGCTTTTGGTGGTTGTGGAGCGGGCGCGTCGTTTAGCAACCATTCTGCTCACATCATGCGCTCGCCGGTTACTGCTCTAGACCATCCCAACTAGCATCACTCCACTCTCCTATTCGGCAAGACGCTAGGTGTTGGATCTATCTAGAATTGCATCCTAGAATTGAAGGGAGAAAACAATGTTCATGTTACTCACGCTGCCGGTATCCAGTCCGTGGGGAGCTACTGGGTTGTCGCTAAAACCATCGACGACGTGATCTTGTTTTGTTTGTCTTCTCTTCGTGTAGTTCTGCAGTTGGAGGGGCGTACCGTCGATTTTTGTTCTTTCCGTTTTCTTCTCTGGTTGCTCTGAGGCAGTTGGAGTTACGGTGGAGCGTTGCGGGGTTGTTATATCGTAGCTGTGCACGAGCCTTGCTAGCGGGTGCTGCTACAGCGGTGTCCATCGGTTGCCGTAGGGCTGTGGTTTGCGAATTTCCGTCGTCGGCATTGCAAATCTCTGGTGGCTGTTTTCTTCTCTCTAATATGTTGTAGATGATCTGACTGCCTACGATTGAGTCGTTACTGCATTAAGAGCTTACCTGAAATAAGCTTAGTCTGGTGTGGTGGTGGTATGTCCTTCCCGAGCTGGATTTGGTATTGTACAAATAAAGAATGAATCTCCTTTTTGTCCTTATACGTCAAGGCAAATAAGTCCTTGTACTCCCAAAAGATCACTTTTGCTTCTCTTGCCAGCTCTTCATTGATGTCAACATTAATCTTCAAGTATTGGAGGTCTTCTTTCGTCGTGAGTTTCATCTTCCTTAATTACTCCAATTTTGGTACGGACCTTGCAGCAACTTTCAATTTGTCCACCTTTATTTGGACAAGAGTCTTATTGATTTCAATGTTGCTCTCTGTAAAAGTATATAACTGGTTCAAGTAGGCTTGTACTGCTTGTGCTATCAGTTCTTGGTCTTTATCCATCTGGGGCAATGTCATTGTCTCAATGACCAGTATTTCTTGCCCGGGGACTAGCCAACGTTCCTCCGCTTCATCCATTAGTCTTTTAGCAAAATTTCAGTGGACCGGCACCTCTAGTAAGTTGGGTTTAGGCCCTTTTCTTTGGCCAACGAAGACAATTTTTCTTTTCTCCCTGCCCTGGTTGGTCACTAGGTTGTTAACCTTTGCATCAATTAACCTCAAGGGGTTATAAGAAGTTTTGCTCAACATATTGGATCTCCATTATCCAAATTTGTTGTCAATTGCATCTTCTATCTTTGTTGAGTGTTTTTTTCTTACTATTTAGTCTTCAACTCTTCAAACTGCTTATTGTTTTCCACTTCTTCATCAAATTGTATTCTTTGAAATTGGTCTTGGATCAATTGTATCTTTTGTTTCTTCAAGGTTAGTAATACTAACCTCTTGATTTTATACATTTTGGGAGTTGTAAAGGTTTCTATCACTGGCTTGTTCCTTGTCGTCATTAGTTCCAATTTCTTCTTCATAGTTTCTATTGTTTCTTACAAATCCTTAAGAATCTAATCTTTGATTAAATTTTTTTTGGTCTATTATTGTCTCTATTATCCTCTTCATGGTGCTGTTCAAAGATTGTGATTAATCCTACATTAGGATACTAGTACTATTGAGTATTTCTATCTTCAGGTCTAAGAAATTCTCTTATTTTGATCTTTAGCTATGGCATCAAGTCTTCACATTTTTTCTTGTGTTTGTATCTTTTTGCCAATCCTTAAAATTGAGATTAATATTATCTATTATTGATCTACTCTTCATATGTACTCGAAGTAGTATTTATAAGTTGGAATTTTTTCTAATCAAGTCCATCTGCATTACATCCTTAGAATATCGCTTTCTTTAAAGCTAATTTATTGTCATGGTCATAATCATGTAAGCTAATAATTTTATACAAAAATATGTAGAAATAAGTAAAAGTAGGTATAAATAAGTTAATTCTATAATATTTAATATAGAAGCTTCCTAAAAACTTCATAGACGCCGCTTTGATTTCATAGGTGTTTTTAATTGGTTTTTTGGATTAGAAACGTGGTCAACAAGTTGGCAATGTGTCACACATATTGTTAATTTGAAGATCAAGTTAATTATGTGGTCCATACGTAGAAAAACTTGCCTTGTAAGTCAAAGTATGTGTCCTATAAAATCAACACATATTGGAGGTCGTACAGAACGTTGCCACGTAACCCCTAGTTAGAGATTATATATAGAGACAAGAGTGAAGGCTTCTTCACTCT